GGAAACCTCCGACACAACACCCCCCCCTCCAAAAAAAAAACAACAACCCACCAAACCCCTTCGGAATCGTTGTATTTACACCAAATACATGCACCACGTCACCAACGGCATCTTCGGGGCTTCTTTGTCCTCGACAACGTTGTGTTGCGTCCGGCCACTGTGAGAAAAAGTCATTGTGCAAACGAGGGGGGGGTGGGAGGAGGGAAAAAAAAAAAAAAAAAAAATCACTTTTATGCCCCGTGCCTGGGAGTTGAACTTGTTTTCCTTAAGCAGGAATTTAAGGACTTGACTTTGCATTTGTGCTTTGTAGGTATAAGGTATCCTTGGCTCATGGAAACGCAGCTCGTTTCTCCGTGTAATTAGAGTTTCATTCGGGTTTGGGGTTTGGTTTTCTTTCTTTCTTTTTTTTTTTTTTTTTAAAAAAAACTAATATATTTTTCTCATGAAAAAGTAAAAAAAAAAAAAAAATTAACTACAGCCGGAAAACAGCGGAAGACATCTGGAGCCAAATTCAGAGGAGGATTATTGGGCCAAGAAAAATCCTATAAATTTCAGTTCGCTGATGAACACAATGAGCTCCCACCAAACGTGTGCTCCAAGGTGGAGGTTTCCTATGAATACCGGTCCTATCAGAGCAGATTGCAGCGAGTCCCGTGCATACGGAGGATGATATTTCTGATACGCATTCAGGTATTGCAGCTCCTAGAGAAGAAACCCACACCACAATGACCGCAAAGAGGCTTTTAAGAGGGGAAATTCTAATAAAATGGTCAAATAAAATCATAATGTAGAACAGCTTGCAATGTCTTTATTTGCCACAGAATTTCACAGAGTATCCCGGGGACTCACTTTACATACACAAGGATTTTTTTTTTAATTTTTTTTTTTTTCCTCTTGTTCTTCGTCTCCCATTGCCAGGAAAAGAAAAAAGAAAAAAAAAAAAAAAAACCGGCGCGCCCTACGAAATTTATTTACAAACCATTTCAGAGACAGTTATTGCAAATGTATTTTCGCCTGGATTTCCCCCCCCCTCCCCGCTCCAAATGCAGAAACGACACCGCAGAGAATATATATATGGAGATATCTGCGTCTATATCTGCATATATATATTTTGAGATGGAGAGGGTGGATGGAGGAGGTGGAAATCGTGCTCTTCCTTGAACACGGAGGAGCGGGTGGGTTTGAATGTACACACACACACACACACATAGAAGGACACACACGCCTGTGTGTGCGTTCGCACACACACACACACACACACTCACCCCTGATGAAGTGATTTGATCCTACAGGGAGACTTTGGCCGCTCTTGTGATAACACAGCTGCAAACTGAAATCACCGCCGTGGTAACACACAGCACTGCGGTTTGTTCAAACGGACAGGGTGCCTAAATAATTATAACATTAAAAATAATAATAATAATAATAATAAAAAAGGGAATCCCAACCAGTTCAGGAAAAAAAAAAAAAAAAGGAAAAAAAGGGGAAAAAAAGTTAAATAAAATGTTCATGGAATTCAAGTCCTTGAAGCGGGAACTGAAAGAAAATCTCACTCCTTTTGTTACTCAGCACTGTCCCAGACATACAAATATAAGTAACGAAAAGGCTTAAACTTTGAGGTTGCGTTGTCGACTCAAAGGGCAAACCCCTGCTCGCAACTGTTCCTCCTCAACACACAAACACTTCACCAGCAGAGGGGATTTCAAAAGATGTTCACAACAAGGGATTTCCAGAGAAATACTGCAGGCGGTCTCTGCTTAATTTTTTTTCTTTCATTCTTCTGTTCTGAAACCAAATTTTAACCTGTCGGTCAGTGAGATTTAACATCCTAGATAACTGGAGCCTTTTTTCTTTGTTTATATAGACATTGAAGAAAAATTCTCTCTCTAGCTCTCTGATCTGGAATTTCGAATAGGGGCATCTCTTCTTCCTCGTTCTGGGAGCACCTTAAAAGAACCAGAAGGCAGGGTAAACATCCTAAGGAAACGCAAGGCACAGACTCATCTTCACAGCTGACCAGATAGATAAGAGCAGCTTTAATTACTCCAGATATTAACGCAGGGGGAGATATCTTCCAGCAGTTCGCCCATTGTTAGGGCTTGCAGAGGTGAGGTTACACAGGGTCTTAAGGACCGTGGTGTAATTATTTTCCCACTGCACGGGGCTTAACGCAGGCACATGCAGACATTTTGGGTGCAGATCTGTTATTTTTTATTTATTTATTTATTAAATAAAGAACAGCCTGGGACTGGAGGCAGCAGCCTGCTGGAGCAGGGTTTAGAGAGGCTGGGGGAAAAAAAAAAAACCAAACCCACCCACCCCACGCTCAGCTGCAAATCTGTTATCTGTATAGAAACAGCATGAGCAAGGTTGGAATTAGAGCAACTAGATATTATGTTCCGCATAAGTTTTTGATTAACTCCAGTCCTCGCCACACACGCAAAAAGGAATCAAAGTCAAAGAGAACTCAGCATCTGAGCTGCAAAAGGGGACTTGCATCCCGAAAGCAAACAGGAAAACAAAACAACCCTCCCCTCTTCCCAAAAGAGCCCCACGCTGAACGCGAACTTGCAAAGTTGCCTGGATCCAGCCTTTTAAAAAAGCTCCTCTAAGACTGCCTAGAAACTGTGAGTACATGCAAAAAAAACCCCCAACAACCGCCCCAGAAGACCCAAGGAAACAAGCACGTAAGTAAAAGCCCTTCCTGACAAAAGCTGGACGCTCCACCAGGCTTGGAGGAGAGTAAGCGCCACTTTAAACAGAAAAGTCCAAGAAAACGCTCAGCTTTGCCTGCAAATTCGGCAGCTCTCCCCCTTAGCCCTGCACCCCCACCAAGAGAAAAGACTCGACATACAGTTCTAATTAAAAAA